TAGACAGACAGATAGACAGATAGATAGATAGATAGATAGATAGATAGATAGATAGATAGATAGATAGATAGATAGATAGATGATAGATAGATAGATAGATAGATAGATATTTGTACTTACAGGGGGGCCGTGTTTCCCAGGATTCCCTGGATCACCAATTTCTCCCTGGGAAGAAAAAAAAGACAAAAATTAACATCAAAATCAGATCACCTAATTTGCTGTAAAGTTGCTTTGCAATGATTTGTATCGTGAAAAGCGCTGTACAAATAAACTTGACTTGACTTGACACATATAGGTGTGACTGTAAATGCATTTGCCTGTATACATTCAGTACAACAAATTACTACATCACATCTCCTCATCTGAGTTTAATCAAGGTGATTCTTGAAAAAGAGTAACACTTACAGTGGGACCAGACTTTCCAAGTGGACCCGGGGGGCCTTCGTCTCCCTGGAAAAACACACAAGCGTTTCGGTAAATATTCAGCAATCAGATCCCACAGAACATCGCCCGTAGACAAGAAAACATTCTTTCAACGTACACATCATACCACAAGCCTGCAGAGAAACAAGGCGATGAAAGAAAAGCAGAACATCACTGAACTGACTCTACTGCAGCTCTATTCTACTGTAGAGGTGATAGACAGACAGACAGACAGACAGACAGACAGATAGATAGATAGATAGATAGATAGATAGATCTGTCTGTTGTGTTTGAGATTGGAAATGAACACTTTACCTCTGTTCCTTTTGGCCCTGGCGGTCCCTGGGTGCCTTGGGCTCCTTGAAGACCCTAAACACACACACGCACACACACACACACACACACACACACACACACCACTCACACACACACACACACACGCACACCCACACACATACACACACACGCACACACGCACACACACACACACACACACACACACACACACACACACACACACACACACAATTCTGTGCAGTGAGGAACACTGGGAAAAGCAGGTGTCTTTATATAAAAACTCACATACTGGGTAAGAGTAACAAAACATCTCTAGTGAGGGGCCTCGCTGTCTACTATCGAAAAGTAAGCTATCTCAGAAGGCAGCATAAGATTGATGCCACCTTTTGGAACAAATATAATGCTATACAGGTGTCTAGGCAAGCAGCTGTCTAGATTTTGGAACAACAAACATTCATGATTTTAATCAGAGAACATATGCACCTTTGGTCCCAGGGGGCCGTTGGGTCCTGGTGTACCAATGTCTCCTGGGAAACCCTACAAGACATGAACAGAAATACATAAAGAACATATTATGAGCTTCACCTTACATTCACCTTGTACGTTGATTAACGGCTGCCCCGCCTCTGTCATTACAGCTCCGCCCACCTGTCATCAGACCACACCCACTTGCTGTAAATTAGGGTCAGGCAGGGCAGGGTTTACATTTGTAACTAGTATTTTCTATACTTAACAGAATTATTGTGTTATTCAACAGAAATGTTCAACTAGAGTGAGTTTTGTGTGTGTTGACGTGTTC